CCTCCAACCCCCCACCGCTCAGGCGACAGAGCGCGCTTGATCCATCTCGTGACATCCGCCTGCCGCCGTCTGGCGCTGCACAAATGCGACCCGTTTCAGGTGGGAACGTCGTGTCGCTCAAACATTCCCACAAACACACACCCGCGCGCACACACACACACGCCCACGCATATACCGACGTCAAATTGTCAAGACAGAGAGCCGGAGCTGCGCGGCGGCGGAGTGAGGGCCATGCGGTGGTGTACTCGGAGCGCCCCGTCAACCTGGAGTGTGGGCGTACCAGGCGTTCCTGCCCCACTGGGCCAACAACCCCGCCCGCCCCGCCCTGCCACGCCCCCGACATGCACACCTACTGCATCGCCTCGCCGCCCCTTGCTTCCTCTCCGCAACCACTCTCCCAGGAGCCTCTACATCCGCAGCCACTCGGAAGTAATCGTGATCCGGTGGCGCAGGGTGGGGCGGGGCGGGATGCGGTGCGGTGCGGTGGGGCAGTGCGCCGCCCTGAGTACTCCCCCGCCCCTCGGGCCGGGGTGGTGGGGCCGTGCGGTCCGGGCTGGGCTGGCCTTTGATGGTCTGGTCACTGCGAGCGTCCCTCTCCGTAAGTAACTTATCGGCGGGGGCAGCTGCTGGGCTGGCCTCGCCGCAAACACTATTTCGACAGAAAATCAGGGGCCGCCAGCTGCTGGCAGGGGGGAGAGAGAAAACATGTTGATAGACAAGTATTTCTACTTCATATTTCTCCTCTTCGAGCCCTTTTATTACTTTTTCAGCGAAAGGGTGCACTTTTGGTTGAGGGGCGTTGCAAGTCATGTGTAGGCGTTAGGGAGGGTAGGGGCCCCTGTCGGGGGTAGGCCCAGGAATGCTGCCCATGAGTGGCCCTTGTTCCCCCCTGGTGCGGGAGGCAGGCAGGGGAGATTCCGCCCTTCCTCACCCCCCCTCCCCCTTCCCCCTGGTTTGCAGAAGTCGGAAAATTGCCCTCCAAACTGAAATCACCATTATTGTTTTTTTTGGGGGGGGGGATAAATTTAAAAGTTAGACAAAACAGGGTGGTCCGCAATCGCCTTTCTTTCTTCTCGGGGTTCTCGGGACGGGTTGCATACTCGCACGGTGCCGTAAGGCCCCTCTGTGAGCGATGATAGGCAAGCCCGCCAGCACGCCTGCATTCGGTACAACATAACCGGTAAAAAGAACGGCGCAGACGCAGACGGACCACGTTGTACAGATGTATTTCCATTTGTCTATGTAATTGTTCCCAAATTTACACATTTTATCACTGAGCTAATCACACCTTCCGGGACCATCCTTCGCCCCAGCTCAGTGATCGTTGTCATGTGTACTGTACGTGTGCATTTTGAAACAATTACAAGGACAAACGGAAATGCAACTATACTGCCCAATTTTTAAACTGCCCCACTTTACGGCCAGAAAGGGAAAACAACAACAAAACAAAGTTAAGGCAACTAGTGCGCGTGCCGCTGTTTGATCTCCGTTCAGACGTCCCCTCCGAGGTCCCCTCCCACCCGTCGACACACTGTTGCTGATAATGAAGCGATGGCCGCTATGGCTGCGTCTGGTGGGCGCGATACACGCGTCCCGGACCCGGCCCGGACCCGACCCTGCCGCTGTCGGCTGACGGCGCGTTCCGACTAACCGCGCCGCGCCACACCGGCTTCCACCACACCACACAGCACAGCATTTTATTGTTAGAGGTGTCTGGTGGCTGGAGCCCCTTCGCATGGAGACGCTGCCACACCGACCGTGAGTCGTGTCACATTTGTCCTAGATTCCCGTTCCATTCGTTATAACATGGCTTACACTGTCATTTCTATGGCGACATAATTGTGACCATACTGGGTGACACTCCCTTTCATGCAACCAGAAAAATAGTTTCTTGATTCAACTGCAGGCTGACACAAGATGAAATTCACCATTGAAACAAGGCAATATTGTCTTTGGAATAAGATTTTTCTCTCCTTCAACAGAAAATATCAGCTTATTTCAAGAGTAAATTTGGTCTTGTGTCAGCGTGCAGCGTGCACTTGAAACAAGGAAAAATTGACTAGAAACAAGAAACAGTTTTTCTGCAAACTTTGGTGATTTCTGAGATGTTACTTATCGTAGATTGATACTCTGTCCCGCTCTGGGTCCCGCTTCTTGTTTGAATTGGGTAAGTCATTGAGATAGATTCCGCGTTTTTTTTTTTTGCACGGCGGCGCGGAGCTGTGTCGTGGTCACTAGTAGGACTGTGGGCTCGCAACCCGTTGGTACCCGGACCTACTGTGCAACGACGTATCGGTGGGCCATCTGGTATCTCCCCTTCATTCTTCCTCTCTCCCTCCCTCATACACACTCTGCAGGAGCAAGCGCAGAGAGGCTCTCTCCGCGAGGGTCTCGCCTCGCCTGCGGCCGAAAGGCTGTGCGCAGATTTCATTTTGGGTCACTTCGATCACTCACGGCACGGCCCTCAAATAATTGAGTCATACGATTTAAGTGCACTTGCCACCATGGTGGCAGTGGAAGGGCTATCGACTGGTGAAAGTTACCCGACAAGGAACAATATTAATTTTGCATGCAACCAGAAAAATCGTTTCTTGTTTCAAGTGCACGCTGACACAAGATCAAATTCACTCTTAAAACAAGCTGATATTTTCTTTCGAATGAGAGAAAAATCTTATTCCAAAGACAAAATTGCCTTATTGTTTCAATAGTATATTTCATCTTGTGTCAGCTTGCACACTCTAAATCTTTTACAAAGATTTTTTTCGTATAATGCAAAGAATTGTGAGCAACCGTAATATACAGGAAATTTCCTTGTATTACATGAAATTTCCCTATATTACACAAAAGTTTTCTTTGTATTACAAAGAAAATTTGTCTTTATATTACGGTTGCACAAAATTCTTTGTAATACAAGAATTTGCTTTGTAAGGACTTAAGAGTGCACTTGAATCAAGAAACTATGTTTCTGGGTGTGTGCCTATCCTAATATACCCATTATTTGTAGAACTTATTGATATCAGGTCAGACAAAAGTCGACGAGTAGCGTGTGGACGAGGAAGAGGAGCCCGGTCGGTCGCCTCGCGCCGCGCCGCCGGTCCAACGAGCCGGAACAGGCCGGTGCACACGGCGGGCGCAGCGAGGGCTGCACGGCTGCACGGTGGTTGCGCGGCGTTACGTGGGTGCGTGACGCAACGAAAGCGACGCCGCCGACGCTCCATCGCGACGCTCCTTGTAACGCGGCGACGGCGGTGCGGGTGAGACCGGCCCAGGCCGCGGAGGCCCCAGGCCCACAGATAGCGCCTTTGTTTCCGCCGCGACTCGGCCGCAATCTCGTCGATTAATTTCACCGCTATAAAAACGAGTGCGGGCGGGGCGGGGCGGGTTGGAGGCCGGTGGTGAAGTGGGCTGTCGCGAGCCGCGCGGAAAGGTTCCGCGTTCCAGCTGCCGCCTGCCGCGGCCACTACTTCTTGACGACCTTAGGCAGACGATAAGAGTGCCTCTCTGAGGGTGCCCGGCGGCGGCGCGGACGCGGTGCTCACTCGCGACCCGGGCCAGGGCCAGCCCGGCCCGCCGGCTGATAGTGCGGCGGTGTCCACCACACGCGGCCCAGGCCCGCGGGGCTCGCGGTCACCAAGGTGCTCTGGGGGTCAAAACGTATACACTTTTGTCCTGGAGGCGGGCGCGGGGGGCGCGGGCACGTGGCCGTCGTGGCCAGTGGGCGGGCGCGGGACGACCTTGGAAGCGCAGCTTGCTGACGGCCTACGACGGCAGCCTCACGGCGGCCCGCGAGTCCCGGAGTGAAAGCAGGCCGGCCCAGCTGGAGCGGCGGGCTGTGGGCTGCGTGCCGGCGAGCGGCGCGGCGGGGCGCGGGCCAGCCAACGGGTCTGGTGGGCACCGGCGGCCGCGGCGGCCCGGGCCCCGCTGCTCGGCTCAGCCGCCACGTCGGCGAGCGTCTGGGCCGTCTCGACTGAATACGTGGCTTTGCGGCTCGGACTGAACCGGTCGGGAGGTCGCAAGCGCCAGGATCCCGTTAGGGACTTGGTGTACCGTACCTGGAGTCGAACTTGGTGCCGTCGGCCAGGGTCCCAGTGTAGTGCATGGTGAGACTGTCGCCGTTCTTGGACTTGACGGAGCAGCCTTCGGGGACGGTCAGCATCTCGATCTTGAGGCCCTCGGGGGTCTCCTTGACCTCGCCGGCGAGCACGGCCGCTGACGCGGCGGCCAGGGCCAGCAGCAGGAGGGCTTTCCTGGGCAGGGACATGATGGCAGTGGTGCACCACACACGAGCGCGCGGGAGTGCGGGACGCAGCTGGGCCGACAGACGCGGGCCGACTGAAGTGACGGGCCGAGCCGGTGTGGGGCTAGGGGGCCGGGCTTGGGGCCGGGGGCCGCGGGACGCAACACGCCTGAGTGCTGACACTTGTTGGAGCCTCGCGGGGCCCTGCCATTGGCCCCTCCCGGGCTTTGCCCCG